GCACCGTTAAATACACAGAAGATATTCAATGGCGGCGCGAAGATATGAAGTTTATTTTCGAGTGGTAAAAGCAATATTTTACGAGTAGTGTATTTTCCAGTGTCTATATAATAAGTACCACTGGGCGTTTCCGCGTTAAGTTCCGGACACATGGTCCCAACATTTTAACTCACATCAGTAGTTTTGATGAAACATGTTACCAGGTAAAGGCTTCTTTTTAGATTCAGTCCACAAAGGTTTTCCGCTCTTGGAACTCGTGGCTCATGACATGGGGCCCTGTTGGAATAAAGCAGCCCGGCGTAAAAATTGTTCCTACCAGCGAGAAAACACAGGAGACTTAGCATCGTTAGCTTAATATCATTAAACCATCGCTTGCAGAGTCTGTGGAAGAATACTTAATACCATGGTGGTATGGTGTAATGGTTCCTCTAATATACTTCTCTGTGGTTTCGATAAAAGTTTGATTGATTATAGTGTCTCAACACAATGGATCGTAACGTCTTTTTTTGTTTTTGCTGTTGTGTTAAACATTATCTCTATGCGTGTGATATAAATGTGAAAACGAAATGTTCTAGGTACTTGATTGAAGATGACGAAACAATTCGTTTTCTAATCGTTTCTGTTATACACACTCTTTCTTTTTTTATATAAAAATATGTTTTATAAGAATGTCGAGGTTGAAATTTGCAAACTTTTAAGAATATTTCTAGAATAAACCTGAGGCTGAGATTTTGATAAGAATATAATTTTGTGCGTTGAAAACTTGAAAAACTCTTCCTTTTTCTAAACGTCAAAACTAGCCACAGAGCAACAAAATCAGCACTAGGCGAAAGTTCGATGCAAGAAGTTATGTGCGTCATATTAGGCTTTAATGCTTGCAGGCCGGCTCCAAAATTACTCCAACACCACCCAGACACCTAATACATTCGAAAACAGAAATGTCATAAGCTATATTCTAAGAATATTCACAAGAATATTTCAGCCTAAAATCGGCAGAAAAATAACGATATCCAGCCTTGACCGGAAAAAAAAGAGTGTATAGCGGGCACGAGAGTTGTACTGGTAAATACACCACTCGTAAAATTCATAGGAAACCACACTCGGGAACCGAGTAGCGTATTCCCCATAGTCTCACTAGTGACGACATTACTAACGACATTTTCCTCTTTTTGTGTGGTTGAAAGTTAACTTAACGCAAGTGGATCATCCGCTCTTAGACTCAAAATACGAAAGGGACAAATTAAATTTGCTTAAGTAGTCGTCTTAAAAAGCATAATTGGTAACCAGTCATGTTCATGGCATTTACGCAAAAGGTTTCTAAATTTCTTATTGTGGACTGGTGCGTAGGTCGCCTTGAAGTTTTCAAGTTTTGAATTCAGTTCCTCGAAGTTTCGACATAAAATAGCTGCTTGTACACAACTGCATACGTGATGTGGTGTTAGTTGGTTTCTTTAAGGAGCTGCAGTTTGACTCGTTCAACCGACATAAAGCGCACACCTTTGTGACTGACTTGTTAAAGTAGCAAATAGTGCTTGAAGTTATTGTTTTCTTTTTTTTTCAAAACAAAACAACAGATTGACGAGAGGTCTCATTCTGGCATTTAAATTATTATCTTATCCTTAGAATACTTAGAAATTTAATTTATAAAAGAAGTTGTAAACTGCCCATTTAAACATAATTATAACCATTAGACATGTGGGAAAACACGCGCAAAGCTAGCAAACAAATCACACGCCAAATCCTTTCGCGTTTCCTGATATCCTTCGTGGTTTGCAGAGTCGATTCTACAAGAGTTTAATACGATAACACTTCATAAGGTAGCTAGCGAAGTCTATTTATCAAAGTATATTTAAGAGAACAGCATAATACAATGATGCACGCTCATGCAGCTAGAATTGCTCTCAGCTGCCCCTCAAACAACTCTTACGCCTCTTTCGTGTTATCCAAACTTCCCAGTCGATGATGCACGCTAAACCATGAATCAATATTTCCAAGTGAAAGTAGCATTCCAGGTTTTAGTTTTCTATAAGACATGTATATAGCTATTACGTTTATTAAAAACTATTTTTATTTGCTTTTTTTTTACAATGTTAAGACAGTAGAGTTGGTAATTAGAAATTATTTCGTAATAAACACAATCACAATAGGGCCTTTTACAAATGTTGCCATCTGGAATCGAGAAATCTTCGTAACCCGCTTCGAGAATTTTATTAGTTTGTCTTATCATTCTAGCACCTAATGGCACTCCTTGGGGCCACAAACTAACGCTAAAATAAAATCCCTGGACCGATTCTTCAAAGTCCCAGGGCTAAGTAAGAATTTCAATTGATACATCGAAACAAGTCTATTAGATTTATGGGTTGTGGTTCCATCCCGGTGGCGGGGGGGGGGGGAACTCTCTTATATGGGCTATATAGGTATGTGCGGACCCAAAGGGTAGGGTTTTTCGGCCGTTTTGGTCGTAAATTAGGGTATTAATTTTGGCCATTTTGGTCACAAATAGGGTATGGTGTTTGCATTCTAGTCTTGAATTGGTATGTTTTATTAGGAGAAACTACTTTTTCATCATTATCGATAAGACCATCAACAATAGTCCTTCACATCTGAACTAGGTAACTAATTATAAGGCAGGTCTGAAGAAGAGTATTGATCAAAGGGTCGGATCATAAATAGGGTATCGAATTTTTGGTCAGGTCATACATAGGGCAGGGGAAATCGCAGATTTTGGTTAAAAATAGGGTAAGGGTTTTGTGAAGCGGCCCGCACACCCCCACCCAATGTTTCTGGGCGTTGGGAGTTGAGATTAAAAAATAATAATAAAACCAATGTTTGTTTTTTTACAAATCGGCGCACGGCAAAATGACGCCATTTATTTTCTATTCATATGTACAACTCATGCATTACAACTTCTATACCTGTTTAGATCTAAGGTACTAAGTAACATAATGTCTGTTTGAAAAATGATTTCCACTCTCTCTTCCTACTATTGCGTTGGGTAATAACTGCAACTTTGAAAACTAAAAATTTTACTTTTGATTATTTGTCAGTGCCTAAGTAGAAAGAGGGGCCTTAAAGAGGTAAAATGAGAACTGGAATTTGGCTATTTTCTCACTGAGTTAGGGTCGCTGGGACCGGGAATCACAAACAAACATATGGACATGGGAATGGGATTTGGCAAAAAATCGACTGGGAAATGGGATTTGAGGAAACAGTGGGCTAGAGAATGGGNTTCGTAGTTTTTCAAGAGAGACAAGAGCCTTCTGAGACTTCTGAGGGACTGACACATACATATATTACAAAAAAAAAAAAACGATCATATATGACCACGATTTGGAAAAATTCAATAAGCCCTCCTCGATCAAGCGCCTCCCTCCAATAAGAGAAAAATTAAATAAGCGCTCCCCCCCCCCCCCCCCTACCCCTTTCAGAACCCTCTAAAAAAAGGCTATTCGCTCGTTCAGTCGTTGCCGAAACGTTCCCTGCTGGTGACGTAGTGATTGGTCGTTGCTAGGCGCGTAGATAGCAATCAATCAGAGGCCCTGACATAGCTCTAAAGAGACTCCATGGTGGTTCTGATTGGTCGTTACTTGGCGCGTAGATGGCAACCAATTAGAGGTTCTGACGTAGCTCTAAAGAAGCTCTATGGTCTTTCTGATTGGTCGTTACTTAACGCGTAGATAACAACCAATAAGAGGCTCGCTGTAAGGCTACCGCATCAGAGTGGAATCTTCGACGCCTCTCGAACGAGGGAAGAATTTACAAACACTTGAATAAAATAGTCAACAGTCAACTTTGCAGTCAGCTTTAGCTGGTCACCCGTTGGTTTTTGTTTGGAATGCTGCGTGACAAGCCAAAAGGTTTGCAAAGCAAACCTAGTTAGATAAAATTGTACACCTTTGCGATGTAAAAACAAACCTGGTACTATGCTGTATGAGAGGCAAGTGTCATGAGTGCAAATCTCCAAAAGCACGGGCTTGAATATTTTTGGGGGGGAAGGGGTGGGAGAAAGTGCAGAAGACAGACATCGCACAAATTTAAAAGGAAATTTTGCATGAAGTCACTCATGACACTTGGAATTTAATTTGAAAAATACCGTTATTTCTAACTCAGTCGAGGAGACAAAGGCCGGTTTTTCGGAACATGTCCTTGAAAGTACTTGAAAAGTTACAATTAATCATTCATTAATTGTTGTTATACAATCAGAACATAGTTCCAGCCCTAACAAGTAGTTCGGAAACTGGTTTCAAGCATGAAGCAATGGGGGTATGTCAATGCTGCTTAGCAACTTTGAAGTCAAAAGCTGTGAGCTCAATCAATTCTCAAAGACGGGAATTCGCCTACGACTGGTGCTCGTTCAGCAAATTAACTATAAAAAAAAAACAGAAAACCTCTTTCTAATTCCTAATCCTCTTGGCGGACGCACTATCAGGTTATCTTAGCCTTTTTGTAAACGTCCTATCACTCAAGGCTAGTTTTCACTAAGACCCTGCCCACACTACGCCGGAGAAATTTGAAAACGGAGCTTTCTTTCTCCGGTTAGGCCGACCGTCCACACTAATCCGTCACGAAAACGGAGCTTTTCGAAAATGCTTCAAAACGGAGGGATTTTAAAACGCCGGCTCATGTTTTCGTGTGGACGGAAAACACTTTGAAAACGGAGCTTTTCGAAAACGATGGCGTCACGATAATCACGTGATTTCCCTGACCGAGTTTTCTTCAAACACAGATGCAAAATGACCGGTGATTGTTGTGTTCTTAAATTCCTCCGGCGCACTGTGGACGGAAAACATTTGATGCGTTTTCGGAGGGAAACCTCCGTTGTCAAATTCCTCTGGCTTAGTGTGGACCAGTCTAACACATGAGCATAAGAAACAGACGCAGACATAGTAAAGCAGGGGCGGATCCAGGATTTGTTTTTACGAGGGGTGCACCACTAAGGAATGATGTAACTGACTGGTGAGGTAAACAAATTTTAAAAGCGAATACGAAGAGGAAGGCTTCATCTCAAGGAGGAGGGGGTGCGCACCCCCTACACCCTCCCCCTAGATCCGCCCCTGGTAAAGCTACGAAAATATCCCGACAAATGGCTCCTCTTAACAGCTCCTTACTAAGTCTCCTTATGTTGCTTACGCTCATGCGCTTTGCTTATGCTACCTCTTCTTAACGCAAAACTGAAAAACATAAACTATCGTGGAAGACAAATATAACTAAGACTGTTTCTTTTCGTCTCGTTGGTTTTCAGATATAGCAGCTATGCTTTCAGAAGTAGACTTAACGTTTTCCCTTGAGGTGTTAATATAACTTGGTTCTTCTCCATAATCTTCTGGAGCTAAATAGTCCTGCAAAGAGTCAAAATACGTTTATAGACTCGAGTTCAAGAATGTCAAACGTTTACTTGTATCAATAACATCAACAACACCAATTATTATATGGCTTGTGTTCGTAGCCGATATAACGCACGCTCTGATTGGCTAGCTCTAGGGCACTATTCTCCCAAAACCAAAGCAAAAAGCCATCTAATAAACAACTTATTAACCTCGAACGTTCGGTCTTCACGGGAAAACCTCAAACCTCGGTCATTTCGTATACGGCAAGGTCTCGGTTTGAGATTTTCCCGTAAAGACCCCACTCCCGGTTAATAAGTACTGAGTTAATAATTTGCTGTAAAAAGACCTCTATGTAATCTGTATAAATACTTTTAGGAAAATAATTTTCTCAAAAAATTACAGCATTTGTGTACATCCAAACAGTGATCACCTCAGCGAAGGTAGGGATTACAGCCGAAGAGTAGGCAGAAGAAGAGCTATTGCCTTCATGAAATTTTTCTTTTGTAACCTTTTAGGTAAAGAATATTACAAACAAAATACAGTATTTAGAGTGCGTCGAGGACTTTCACAGAAAAAGTAAAGGTAAATTGTCTTTAAAATCAATAGATTTTACTTTTTTCATGCCATCTCAAATTTAAGAAACACATTAGCGGTTCACCACAAATGTCACAACACTGCACGCTCTATATTCTACAGTGCGGCCCGCTTCCTGCACGAGAATTCCATTTCCTTTTCTTTTTTAAGACGAAGGGCGAGAGATGTGATGAACTCTGACCTAATTTACCTTATTTTCTTGGTCCGAGTCGAGAGTTTAAGACTAAACGTCAACTTACCGTTTCTTGTCTGAGCATTCGATGGAGTTCATCACTCAGCTCCTCAAATGTTGGTCTCGTCTTTGGATTTGCATTCCAGCAACGTAGCATTATAGCGTATCTGAGAAAAGGCAAAAAAACTTTCTTTAAACAACACCGATGCAGAAAGAAAGCGCCCGCTGAAAGCCGTGCTCCTACGACTCGACAGAAACACAGAATTACCACGAGCCGTTGCCTTAATGTTCAGGCCGGACAACCAGAGAGAATTTGCGTCTTGGTAATTGAAATAAACGAGTAATTTTCCTTTGATTTTCTCACAATTTTTACTAAAAGAAATAGAAAACATTGTCCCTGTACATCTGTCAAGTCAAATAGGAAACGTGTACCGTGTTTCTATCTAGTTTTAGTATAAATCTACTAGCGGTCTATTACGAATGCCGTTCTCTGATTGGCTACGCTACTCACTAGCTATTCTGTGATAGATAGTGAGTAGCGTAGCAGTGTGCGCTTCTTAACATAATGACGGCTGCTTCTTTGCGTTTTCGAGGTGTATGAAGAGGATTTAGATAAAGTTTTGAACGACTAGTAGATTTATACTAAAACAATTAGATTTATCGTTCTCGATTTCTATCCGTGATAGAAATCTTGGGCTGCGCCCTCGTCAACTATCACTTGATAGAAATCTCGAGCTCATAATCCAATTGCTTAATAGAAACACTCGTGAAAGTTTGGGAGAACTCAAAACGCTCGCCTGTTGACAGTGTACACATTTCTAGTTCTCTTAAACTTCCTTTTGTGTTTGTATAACTCGATATAAGGAAGGAAAGTCACTTTTTATATCTCAAACAATGTATGCCATGTTTTCAGCACTCCCTAAGCCTCGTAAGATACAATCGCTCTCTCCTGTCCTCTTTCCTGTTTCAAGAGCCTTCGCTTTTACTGGCCAGCAACAGGAACCTGTCGCTGGCTAGTAGGACCGAAGGCTCGAGACTGATATAGCATGGTTTGTCCGCCATTTTGAATTTTCAGGTATGTGATGTGAAGTTTGGATGACCATATTTTGACAAGAGTTTTCTCTCAATCGTTTAGACCATTTTGAAAGTTTGAATAGGCATTCAAAACATAATTGTAAGATACAGTTTGCTTCAGTCACAGCATTTCTTGCTCAATGCTGTGATCTTGAATTAAACTTTGCTACCATTTTCGCGATAACTCGCAAGTCATTTTGCTTTGGAGATGGCGAAAAGTTCCAAAATTAGCTTAGTTTGGTAGATAAAAAGTTTGCTGGACAGTAGTCACTATTAATGAAAGAAAAAAGGTGATTAACAGTGACGAGGATTAAAATCAGTTACAAGAATCAATGATGCATTGTTTCTAAAAAAAAAAAGAATTTGTACCTCTTGGAATTTTTTATCTGTATTGTAATAATTTTATAGTGTTTAATGGCGTTTCAATATTTTGTCGTGATCGATTCAGTCTTATTAGCATATATTATGTTTCACCTTCCATGATAACTGCGCATATGCATTCAACCCCCCCCCTCCATCCATTCTCGTCCAAAGAGCCTTGTTTTTTTAGAAACGCGGTCGGTGAAAAAGGGAAAAAAACGAGTAACTCTGAGAACAAGAATGTGAACTCACAAAGATATTAGTAAGCTTAAGCAATGATGACGGCGAGGACGAGGACGACGCCTAGTAAAAAATGAATTTAGATGTTACCTTCAAAATTCGTAGTAAGCTGGATCTGTTCAGTATGTCAATCGGTCGAAAAACTTGCTCGAACTAAATATTTAATGCCAGCATTCGATTTCAAATGGAAATACGAAAAATGAGCCATAGTGATTCATATTGACCAAGATAAGCGAAACATTTTTTACTACGTTGGTGTCTGGCAGAGGACGGTCATGAAATGTACCAAGGTTTATAATGCACGTGCATCAGGCCAGTGTTATGCAAAGTACGTAAGCCGTTCTCGCCGCAGTTGCGATCTTGGTTTGTTTATTGTATCGTTGATTATCTATGCGGTGCATCGCGGTCTATTGTACATTTGTCGTTTTACTTACAGCCAGTCCGTGCAGTAACGAGGTTTTTCCAAACGATGTCCCGCTTTCAGCTTGGTCAGTAATTCGTTTAAAACCATCCCGGCGTATGGCGCACAGCCTATAAAACGAAGATCACAGCAACGTGCAGGTTAGATTGAGGTGATCACATCAATGACATATTCTTTAAAGGAGCTACAGGACGGTTTGCGTGTCTTGAAAAGTTTAGCCTAAAGTTTTCAAGTTCGTCGCTTGTAATCCGAGTTAAGCTTTTCCATCCTTAACCATCCTCGTTCCTTTATGGTTTGTTATTATTTCTTTGGTATTTTCCTATCTTAGAAAAATACTATTTTCAGGTTTCCTTCAATTTCAGGTTATTTTGTACATGGCCAAAATACCGTGACTGAGCTCCTTAAATACTTGCATGTTATTGATTGCAAGCAGGCCATTTTATAACCAAGAGGTACCGAAAGAGGAATCATAATTTTGATTTTCGTGCCAAAAACCTGCGACTGTTGCATCACACAAAATTCGATTCCAGTCTGTTTTCTTACGTACGGCTGGGTAACTGTATCACCAGAAATCATAGAAAAACAACCTTAAGGCAAGTTCTGCTTTGATCATCCTTGTAACAAATGTCAGTGCTTGCGAGAGGGAGACAATGGAATGAATGGAAGGCAAAACAAATTCCAACTTATTTTAGAGAGCACCAAATCGTCACGCCCGTACATGATAAATTCCGCAGTGATAGTATATATTTCGCTTTTGTTTGGTAACCAATGGTCACGCAATCTTTGCATTGAGAGGAAAGTCTCCGTGACACAACGACACGAACGTTTGTGCTAAAGCTGTATATTAATTCTCACGAGGTAGAAGAGCTCACCTCCGGTTTCGATTTCCCAAAGCAGAACACCGAACGACCATCTGCGAAACAAAACAGCCTATAAGTCTGGATTTATCAAAGAAACTATGAATTAAGGGAATTCCGATAGTAAGCCCTGGGTTATACAATAGAACCCCGCCTTACGGCCACCCCGTTAATGTGGCCAAGTCGTTATTACGGCCACTTTCTTCTGGCCCGAACTAAACGTCAGTCAGTCATTTTCGTATTTAAAGAACCCCTTAAATTCGGCCACTCCGTTAATACGGCCAAACTTTTGTGGCCCGTTGGTGACCAGATAAACAGCGTTCCACTGTATTTCTTTATAAGACTTTTCTGGAGGGTTACAATATGGGGTCTCGTAATCGAAAGAAGTTGTAACTTTCTTTAAGAGCTAAAGCTATCTTATTTACAGTAGGGCCTATTTCTGGAGAGGAGACTACGGTATGTACTATGGTATATACCATACAGAATATGCCAAATGGCAAACATTTTCTCAGATCACATTAGACAAACAACTCACACGTCACTTTGGCTCGTGTAAATGCCTTGCTCCAGACACTCTACTGCCATCCATTTTGCCGGAAGCTTTCCCTGTGATCAAATAAAAGTAAGATATTAGTTGTGACATTGATGGCCTCCTGGTATTACCGTAAATCCTCGAATTAGCGCCTGGGGCACTTATTCGAGGGCGGCGTTTAATCGAGGCGGGGGGGGGGGGGGGGGGGGCGGTAAGCTCCCATATAGATATCACTGGGATACTCGTTGGGCGTTTACAGAAAAAAAAAAAATGTACATTCGTTTATTGATGAGTGATATAACATAGGTGGTGAATCCAGGAAGATGGCAGAAGGAACAAAGCGAGAAGAGGGGTCAAGGCTGGACTTGTGATCGTAGAATGGTTATTTGTTTTCTTAGANGACGCTCGCGCGTGTGACTCAAAGGTGAGCCTGCTGGCAGGCTAGCCACTGCGCCATCCCTGATCCCCTCTGTTAAATGTGGATATTTCCACAACTGGTTTGAATGCAAAGCGTTCGGATTTCAGCCATTGAATCAGAACCTTCTCACCGCCGTGTTGCCTTTATAAGGTTATGGCAATTTGTGACGTCAATTGCATTGTAGGAGATCTAAGGCCCCGTCCACACTACCCCGAAGGAATTTAAAAACGCACCAATCACCGATCATTTTGGATTTGTGTTTGAGGAAACCTCGGTCAGGGAAATCACATGATCATCGTGACGTCATCGATTTCGAAAAGCTCCGTTTTCAAAGCACCAAAACGAAAAGAGGGTGTTTTCAAATTCCTCCGGTTTGAAGACCGTATTCGAAAAACTCCGTAGGTAGGTAGGCTTAACCGCAAAATTTTAACGCTGCGTTTTCAAATTTCTCCGGTGTTGTGTGGAGGCCGCCTAAAATACCAAACCTTTAAAACGACTTTGCACATAAAAACCAACTTATGATTTGGAACACAAGTGTTTATTCAGCCAAGTTTTCCATTTAGCATCGAAATCGTACGCCATTTAAGCTTCGTGAAGACACACCTTACCCTAACTTTCAAGTTCACCCCAACCTTTCTTCAACTTGCCGTGTTTTTATTTCGTTGTGTTTTTTTGTTGTTGTTGCTTTGTAATGCACTCTAGCAGTTGTATTAGACGTGTAATTTGCTTTGTTTGTTTTACTCAACAAAAATTTAAAGAATTAAAAAAAACCTTCAAGATCACGAGTTACTTACATCTCCGGAGAACAATCATGAGGTTTTGCCAAGCGATTTCCTGCTTTCAGGTGGGGCAGCAATTCACGTGTTGATATCCCAGCATACGGGGTACAGCCTGCACATTTACAAAGGGAATGTTAGCAGTTACATTTTAAAAATGCTGCGTGTTACGCTTTACATGGTTCGTATAATAAAGTCTGCATACTTATTAGTTGCTCCAAATAAAACAAGAAGGTAATAAAAATATATGCCAATATTTCATGTTTTTTTGCGGAGGACCCAGGAACCCCAGCGAGATTAAGACTTAAACTCAATCGTTCAAATTACTAGCTAGGAAAAACCCTGGCACCAAGGTTGCAGTTTTCAGGAGGACTTATTAATTCTAAATGATCTTCAAGATTGTACAGTCCCTGGCCTGAGCACAAATCTCGCAACAGTGCACGGTAACAGAACTCACCTCCAGTTTCGATTTCCCAAAGCAAGACACCAAACGACCATCTGCGAAACAAAAACAGATTCTGTCTGGATGGAGTAATGATCTTGTTTTGTTAATAAAATACAGTATACGCACACAAAAGTGCTTGCTATTTAATTAATTTTTCTTTAGGATCGGCAGTCACGATAAACCAGGACCAACACAGCAGTAGGAGCGATCAACTGGGAAAAGATCGTTACCTTATTTCATCTCGCAACAACTTAATTTGTCATAAAAACAACGTTCGTATTGTAAGAAATGTTAGTATTGTCAGTAATGTAACTACTGTAAGTAATGTAACTACTGTAAGTAATGCTACTTTTCTGAATAATTTGTATAGTTAAATAAAAATTAAAAGAAAAGATTTAATTTGTCATGAAATCTACTGAGGAACATCAGCTACATCATCAAGAGAGAGGATGTAAGGATTTAAACCAAAACTTACACATCACTTTGGCTGGTATAAAGACCTTGCTCGAGAGATTCCACGGCAAGCCACTTTACTGGAACCTTGCCCTGCGAGTAAATGAACAAATCAGCAATTCATGAAGACAGTTTTGTACCAAGGAAAACAACTATTATTAGCAAAAAGAAAACATGTCCCTTGTGTTTATGAATTATAGGAACACGAGTGGAAGTTTTCCACGGCTTTTGGAGTTCTCCAAAACTTCCACGAGTGTCTCTTTAACTCGATGGAAACACGGAGAACATATTTTCTATTTCTTTTAGAAAACACCGCGACGTAAAAAAGAAAACAACTTGTTTACCTTGATCATCAAAATGTAAATTCTCTTTGGTAGCGCCATCATTACTTCAACAGCTCGTGCCGATTCTGTGTTTCTATTGAGTTTTACTGTACATCTACTTGCGTCCTATTACGAATGCCGTTGTTCTATTGGCTACGTTACTCATTATCTATTCTGTTGTAGATAGTGAGAAGCCCAACACTGTGCGCTTGTTAACAAAGTGACGGTGTCTGTACGTGCAGACATGTGCATGATAGTTGACTCGGGCTGCGCCCTCGTCAACTATCACGCGATAGAAATATCGAGCTCATAATCTAATTGTTCAATAGAAGAACGATTTTAAACCAATCAGCGCATGTATTTTTGGCGGGGCTATTTCCTAAAACTATTTATTTCACAAAGAGAGCATTGTTTTGTGATGACAACCGGAACAAAAGTTTAACGCTTGAAGTTGAACCAAACACGTTTGTACCGAAAAAGTTTTTAACAAAACTTTAACTACATGAAACATAACAAAACAATCAGCAGAACCTGGTCTTTTAATACACGAGGTACAACAGATACCTCCAAGAACAGAAAGTGGATTGAAATTTCGATATATTAAAATTCAGCCTAAAACAATAGACCTCAGCACGAGGCTCCGGGAAAAAAACCCACAAACTCTATAGTTATTCCCCAGAGCTTCGCGCTGAGGTCTATTGTGTTAGGCCGAATTTTAATTTATCGAATTTTGTCTGTTGGACCAAATACTAAAAGCTGAATTAATATCATGTCAACTACAGGAATGACTAGATCATACCCCGGATGTCTTCTCGTAGACATTGGTCGTGTAAAGATCACGTGTCAACCCAAAATCGGACAGCTTAGCTACCATTCCCTCTCCAAGAAGAACATTTCTGGCAGCCAGATCTCTATGCACCCACTGGAATATAAAAGATATATTAAAACACGCTGTGTTCGGGCCCCAGGGGATACTCTGGTAAAATACCATAAATGGAAGCTTACAAGGTCTCCTCCTTTTAACCCCCCTCCCCCCAGTTATAAACCTATCTACCAGTGAACAAAATATTAATTCCGATTATAAGCTCCCCCGGATATAAGTCCTCCTCTAGAGTTAAAAGTGACATGAATTCGAGTTATTATGATGGTTTAAAGCCAGTACATGAAAATCGTATATCGATCAACCCTTAACTCGTCTCAAAACGGTGTTCTTTATTCCGGTTATAAGTCTGCCCGGATATAACTAAAAAGTCTCCCCGTTATTAAGCCCATCTAAAACCTCTTACGAAGTTGTATAAGCCAAGGACTTATAAGCGGCAGGTTATGGTAATGACAGGAAATTACTTAAGTCTAAGGGCTTTTTGGGAGTAAGAAATGTTGCCCCTGTTTTGTTTGGGGAGAGGAGTTGACGGATATCGATCAACATCAGTTCAGCTCAATTGGTATTCGTATATATAACAAAATTCTCGATCGTGATTGGTTCTCCGCGCGCCTATTTGCCACGTAATCGACGCGCGATCACGTGGGTGTCCAATTACAGGTGTAAAATTTGAACTTTTTTCAATTGGACACCTGTAATTGGATACCCACGTGATTCGCACGTCATTTGCGCGCGCTTTAATGGCTTTCTTTGCGATGTTTCCTAACGTTTTCAAAACTTATGAAACGCGCTCAAAAGAAGTTCTCAAAAGACATTTTTAATTCCGAAATTTGTTATAGATACGATTAATTAGTAATTGGACCTAGTGTCAATCCGACAACCTTGCTAACGCAAACAACGGCCTCCTTTGAAGTCCCAGCATCCCATTTCCTTTATGAATTAACCCTGCAACGGTAAGGATGAGCACGAGAGGTGCCGAACTCAGAGAATCGAGGGAGTGTATCCCCTCCCCTCACCCGGGCAGTACCCCTTCTCCTCTCCACACCATGACAATTTGGTCTACTTTTGGCAAGGCGTCACCCAATGGACAAGGCATCGCACTTCGAAGGTAGAATGCAGAATGCTTTTCAGTGCAGAGTAACTGTTTTTACTTCTCCCCTAAACTACTGGATAAAGAAAAGCTTGGACAGCATGCGTCACAACTAAATAAGAAACCCATGGATAGGAACGTTTTCCTAACAACTCACCATGGGCGATGTTATGTCTGTTATGTAACAAGATTTATTTGTCGTGGTAAATGTATTATAAATACTGAATTTATATTACTCCCTGGCATTGTAAAACGTTAGGAGAGCATGCTTAAAAGAAAAATTGACGGGCCCGTGTTGATTAAGCACTTAATGACTGGCCCCAAGGGAAACAATGAGTTTTGTTTCCTCTACATCCTCAGTGTTGAACATTGAGGTTGAGGGGAAACAAAGTATATTATTCATGCATATACAGAGTATGGAAGAATTTGCACCGCACCCTCATAGTAGCAAGATGTTTCATTCCCTCAGCAACGTCACACGCTATCCTCAGTCTCTCCGCGAAACTTATGTCTAAGCTGTATTTGTTCATGTCATCGTAATTTTGCTTTCGGTTATCACGAAGGTAACGATGGAGGTTGCCGTGTTCTGCAAATTCTACGACGATCATCAACTGACCTAAAGTGTGAAAAACAAGTACGTTCAGAGAAATAATGATCTACTCGGCAATTTCTAGAAGCCCCGAGGTTTATGCTAGCCTCTAGCCTGCGAACGCAAACGTATTTCCGGCCATCGCTTGTCTCCGCCGAAAATAGACAAGCGATAGTCCGAAATACGTCTTTGTTCGCAGGCGTCAACCTCGTACGACCCAGAACGTTTTTCCTTTGAAAACTGGAAACGGTACAGAGAAAACACCCTAGGGACGAGGTTGCTGTTGGCTGAGATGATCTCAATAACGTTTTATAAGGAGAGGATATTAAGCATACCCATTTCTATACTATTTCCGATCGAAAAGATCACCCTTCAATAAACGTTTTCATTCTAAAATGGTACCCATTTCACTTGCAGTAGAAGCACTTCTCTTTTCGTATGCCTTTAAGTAGCTAAGTGAGAGTTATCCTAATCATTTCTATACTTCACCTCGCGTAATACATATCCTTATACCCTTTCCAGCAGAACTTCTATTTCCCCTCCTCAGAAACGTGGCCTCGAAAGAGTTAATCCTGCGAATCCAAGAGTATTCAGTACTAGTTTTAATGCTGACTCACCCTCACTTGAACATGCACCGATAAGATTGACCAGGTTGGGGTGATGACCCACTGATTCCATTATTTCTAGCTCATTCTTCAAATCTCTGAGATCACTTTCTGTGGCACAATCTGAAAGGAATGTGTATTGAGAAGACACAGTCATGTGTTTTCATCAGAGCGATAAAGACATGACAAAAAGCTATTAAAATAGCGCAGTTTCTAGGAGAAACTATCTTTCGGGATATTTTGCTCATGCTACGTTCAAAGTTAACAGTTGATCAAGATTTTCTTAAGTCCAACTAAAACATTAACAGACGTACCTTTCAACTTCTTAACAGCACATGGTGCGATGTGACCGTCATCTTCAGTCAGTTCTCCTTTGACCACATTTCCAAACTCGCCCTCTCCGAGAATCTTGCCAAGAGTAAGACGGTCACGTGGTATTTCACGCCAAGGAAACTGTATTGTGCTTG